ACCCCATCTGACTGATGATTAATAAAGGTGAATTCCCAATGCAGTTTTTTTGCTTTTCACGTCACGCGTCACGTAGTCTGATTCAGCGTCACCAATCAGGTTGCATGACGCGCGACGCGTAACGCAAAAACGCTGCATTGGGAAGTCACCTTAATGTCTATTTCGCAGTGTTGCCAGCGTGGAAACTGTCAAAATCCCACATTTCTTGAAAACATTTCCCGCCACATTCAAATTTATTGCACGCACACACACACACACGAGTTCTTCTTTTTTTTAATTGAATTTATTTGAATCGACCGTAGGCGATGCAATCGAAAAAGAGACTGAGCATATCAGTCATCTAACCGATTAATTTCGATAAGTATACGGAGCGGTGAAATGAATTTAATATACAGTGTCACCAACAATCTAGGGTCATGAATTCATATAAATCTAGGGTCAGGAATTCATATAAATCCCCTTTTTAATTGTTCTCCTCAATAATTTATGAGAATTGTGAACTTTCGATTTACAAAAATTAGCTGAAACACTACAGGGTGAAGAATTGGAATTTGCAGATCAAATTGGGAGGTCTCCCGTTAAAATTAACACTTCTTTTAACAATAATTCAAGGAAGCGATTGGTCCTTTCCCCAATTGATCTGTCCTATGGGATCACCCAGAGTAGTTTATCAATCATCATTTCGATGAATAATCCCTCCTCATACTTTTCCATCTATAAAATTTGAAAAATGATACTCTCTACCTCATAAGATCAAATAAATAATTGATGATGACTTTATTGACTTCACATACATTTTGTGAATGCTATAATACTACAGAGATGCGGATGCCATGAAATGTTCCTAATACAATCATTCTTGAATTATTCATCTTTCTTTTTGGGCACATAAGAAAGTACAATAGCCGATTTGGGAGATATCGGCACAGTAGTGGCATCCTTCTTCGCACTGAAAAAGAAAGAGATAAAATAGATAGATAGATTTATTGGTCCACTTCCAAATAACTTATACAAGTTATGGGACAAGTCATGAAACAATTCATACAGGAATTGCAGATAAAAATATATACATTGGTATAAGAAAAACAAACAAACAACACACATAATAGACCTAACATTGACATTGAACAAGCCACATCTGAAATAATCAATGAACTCTTCAATACTATATGGGACTATCGTCAATATCACGGAGTTAATCTTCATTTTGAATTGTTTCAATTTTCTCAACAATTTGTACTCTTCAAGTAATATATTATATAGCCTAAGACCGATGGTTTGGTAAGATTTTTGACAAAATGACAAACGATTTTTGGGCATGTGGAGATGTCTCTTTATCCTAGTGTTATAATTATGAACGGTTTCATTTTTTGCAAATCGTTCAACATTTTTATGTATATAAACTAGTAATTCCAGAATGTATAAACCATACATTGACAGAATATTATATTCTCTGAATAAACCTCGACAGGAAGATTTCATAGAAGTACTGGCAATGCATCTGACTATTCTTTCCTGAGTTATGAAAACATATTGCATAGAAGATGAGCTACCCCAAATCAAAATGCCGTATATCAATAGAGACTGAATTTGACCAGGGTAAAATAATAATAGTGCCTCTTTGTTCAAAACAGTTCTCAAAACCCTAATCTGGTAGCATTTCGTATTCAGATTTTTCATGAGATTATCACAATGTGTTGTGACTTCAAGTTACTGTCCAAAGTGAGCCCTAAAAATTTCACACAATTTGATGCTTCTATAACCTTATCATTGACTTGAATATCTAGCTTATGCTTAATATCATTTTGACGTATTTGAAATCGCATGCATGAGGTTTTGCATGGATTGAGGAATAGAAAATGATTTGATAACCAGCAGGAGAGATTTTGGAGACTGGAGTGAATAGTGGTTTGTAGAGTATACTCATTCCTTCCAGGTAATTGATTTATATAAATATTAAACTAGACAGGTCCCAACACAGAACCCTGTGGTACGCCTATTTTATTATGTAATTGGGATGATATGAAATGAGGTCGATCATTGTCTACTTCATGGCTCTGAGTGCGATTTTTGAGGTAAGAGTCAAACCATTCATGAATATTTCCTCGGATGCCCAAATTGTAGAGTTTTTCAATGAAAGATCATGTTGAACAGAGTCGAATGCTCGACTCATATCACAATAATCAACAAAGTTCTCAGGAGTACGCAAAATAAATAGTTCACTCACTTCAACGCCATATACTCCGTCTCATTGAAGTTCTTGCTATAATGCTGTATAGAAACTTCCTCGATTTCCGAGAGTGCCGGCACTTGACGGACGTTGACAGTTGCCTTTGATTCGCCTGTATTGAGAGCCACCAGAATACCAGGATTACCAGGTGTCAGTCTAGAAATATGAAAAAGGATGTAGTTTACATAATAAGTCCAAAATCAGCATTGTTATAAGACCTGCAGATGGAGTTCCAAATACACACAGGTCACTAACCTATGTGAATGAGATACAATTTGAAATATAAACTGCGTGACAAATGGTTTGGCCCACCTGAATATTTCACTTAATTTCTATATCAAATATTATAAAAAATACTAGTCCGATTCTGGAACGATTTGTTCCTTATTGTGTACTAATCGTTCAAGAATGAGATGGTCTACCGACTCTGTCCATGAAGTTTGTGTTTTTAGATATGCAGGGAAAAACATTGACCCATTAAAAAAAATAATATTTTCAAAGTTATCCTAATCATATGTAAAAAATTTAGGAGAGTTTGTTCATGAAATCGGTACAGAGACGGATTCATCACTTGAATTTCTTTGATATTTGAGCGAATACCGATCTACAGGGTAATTCGAGATTCCAAAAAACTTGAAATTCAGTTATGCATATTGTGATTTCAACTTTGAATGCTCTATATATTGTTGTAGAATGATTTATATCATGCCTGTTATCATTTTTGATCTACTGATGACATGTTAACAAAATATTTTCTCCAATATTGAAATCATGTCGTTTAATTCCTTTGTGAATGTCAAATCAGTGATCTAGTGTTGATACCTCAATCCTCATGTATCAAAATTTCCTTGAAATAGAGACGTAGTAGCCTACCGGAGTGCTCCTATTGACAATAAAAGCGAATAGCTGGTCTCATTCGATTAAGCATGTCATTTCCAACTGGAAAAGCGATAATTCGCGTGGATTTTCTGGCACTTTTGGCCGTCCGAAGATGGCTCGGTGACTATATCGTACTGAAGTCTTAGGTCGGAAAATGAAAATTTTTATTTGACCTATTGAATATCTGAGAAAATTCACATAGACTAATTCGATGTCGAAATGAACGAATCTGTGGTGGAAATCGGGAAATTTGGAAAATGGAGACGTAGTAGCCTACCGGAGTGCTCCTATTGGCACTAAAAGCGAATAGCTGACTTCGAGCGCCGATATCTCGAAAACTATCTGTCCTATGGAGCTGATCATGGTCTCATTCGATTCAGCGGGTCATTTCCTACTGGAAAAGCGATAATTCGCGTGGATTTTTGCCGTTTACTGGCACTTTTGGCCGTCCGAAGATAGCTCGGTGACTATATCGTACTGAAGTATTAGGTCGGAAAATGAAAATTTTTATTTGACCTATTAATATCTGAAAAAATTCACATAGACTAATTCGATGTCGAAATTAACGAATCTGTGGTGGAAATCGGGAAATGTTGGAAAATGGAGACGTAGTAGCCTACCGGAGTGCTCCTATTGGCACTAAAAGCGAATAGCTGACTTCGAGCGCCGATATCTCGAAAACTATCTGTCCTATGGAGCTGATCATGGTCTCATTCGATTCAGCGGGTCATTTCCTACTGGAAAAGCGATAATTCGCGTGGATTTTTGCCGTTTACTGGCACTTTTGGCCGTCCGAAGATGGCTCGGTGACTATATCATACTGAAGTCTTAGGTGGGAAAATGAAAATTTTTATTTGACCTATTAAAAATCTGAAAAATTCACATAGACTAATTCGATGTCGAAATCAACGTATCTGTGGTGGAAATCGGGAAATTTTGGAAAATGGAGACGTAGTAGCCTACCGGAGTGCTCCTATTGGCACTAAAAGCGAATAGCTGATTTCGAGCGCCGATATCTCGAAAACTATCTGTCCTATGGAGCTGATCATGGTCTCATTCGATTCAGCGGGTCATTTCCTACTGGAAAAGCGATAATTCGCGTGGATTTTTGCCGTTTACTGGCACTTTTGGCCGTCCGAAGATGGCTCGGTGACTATATCATACTGAAGTCTTAGGTGGGAAAATGAAAATTTTTATTTGACCTATTAAAAATCTGAAAAAATTCACATAGACTAATTCGATGTCGAAATCAACGTATCTGTGGTGGAAATCGGGAAATTTTGGAAAATGGAGACGTAGTAGCCTACCGGAGTGCTCCTATTGGCACTAAAAGCGAATAGCTGATTTCGAGCGCCGATATCTCGAAAACTATCTGTCCTATGGAGCTGATCATGGTCTCATTCGATTCAGCGGGTCATTTCCTACTGGAAAAGCGATAATTCGCGTGGATTTTTGCCGTTTACTGGCACTTTTGGTCGTCCGAAGATGGCTCGGTGACTATATCGTACTGAAGTCTTAGGTCGGAAAATGAAAATTTTTATTTGGCCTATTGAATATCTGAAAAAATTCACATAGACTAATTCGATGTCGAAATGAACGAATCTGTGGTGGAAATCGGGAAATTTTGGAAAATGGAGACGTAGTAGCCTACCGGAGTGCTCCTATTGGCACTAAAAGCGAATAGCTGACTTCGAGCGCCGATATCTCGAAAACTATCTGTCCTATGGAGCTGATCATGGTCTCATTCGATTCAGCGGGTCATTTCCTACTGGAAAAGCGATAATTCGCGTGGATTTTTGCCGTTTACTGGCACTTTTGGCCGTCCGAAGATGGCTCGGTGACTATATCATACTGAAGTCTTAGGTGGGAAAATGAAAATTTTTATTTGACCTATTAAAAATCTGAAAAAATTCATATAGACTAATTCGATGTCGAAATCAACGTATCTGTGGTGGAAATCGGGAAATTTTGGAAAATGGAGACGTAGTAGCCTACCGGAGTGCTCCTATTGGCACTAAAAGCGAATAGCTGACTTCGAGCGCCGATATCTCGAAAACTATCTGTCCTATGGAGCTGATCATGGTCTCATTCGATTCAGCGGGTCATTTCCTACTGGAAAAGCGATAATTCGCGTGGATTTTTGCCGTTTACTGGCACTTTTGGCCGTCCGAAGATGGCTCGGTGACTATATCGTACTGAAGTCTTAGGTCGGAAAATGAAAATTTTTATTTGGCCTATTGAATATCTGAAAAAATTCACATAGACTAATTCGATGTCGAAATGAACGAATCTGTGGTGGAAATCGGGAAATTTTGGAAAATGGAGACGTAGTAGCCTACCGGAGTGCTCCTATTGGCACTAAAAGCGAATAGCTGACTTCGAGCGCCGATATCTCGAAAACTATCTGTCCTATGGAGCTGATCATGGTCTCATTCGATTCAGCGGGTCATTTCCTACTGGAAAAGCGATAATTCGCGTGGATTTTTGCCGTTTACTGGCACTTTTGGCCGTCCGAAGATGGCTCGGTGACTATATCGTACTGAAGTCTTAGGTCGGAAAATGAAAATTTTTATTTGGCCTATTGAATATCTGAAAAAATTCACATAGACTAATTCGATGTCGAAATGAACGAATCTGTGGTGGAAATCGGGAAATTTTGGAAAATGGAGACGTAGTAGCCTACCGGAGTGCTCCTATTGGCACTAAAAGCGAATAGCTGACTTCGAGCGCCGATATCTCGAAAACTATCTGTCCTATGGAGCTGATCATGGTCTCATTCGATTCAGCGGGTCATTTCCTACTGGAAAAGCGATAATTCGCGTGGATTTTTGCCGTTTACTGGCACTTTTGGCCGTCCGAAGATGGCTCGGTGACTATATCATACTGAAGTCTTAGGTGGGAAAATGAAAATTTTTATTTGACCTATTAAAAATCTGAAAAAAATTCATATAAACTAATTCGATGTCGAAATCAACGTATCTGTGGTGGAAATCGGGAAATTTTGGAAAATGGAGACGTAGTAGCCTACCGGAGTGCTCCTATTGGCACTAAAAGCGAATAGCTGACTTCGAGCGCCGATATCTCGAAAACTATCTGTCCTATGGAGCTGATCATGGTCTCATTCGATTCAGCGGGTCATTTCCTACTGGAAAAGCGATAATTCGCGTGGATTTTTGCCGTTTACTGGCACTTTTGGCCGTCCGAAGATGGCTCGGTGACTATATCGTACTGAAGTCTTAGGTCGGAAAATGAAAATTTTTATTTGGCCTATTAAATATCTGAAAAAATTCACATAGACTAATTCGATGTCGAAATGAACGAATCTGTGGTGGAAATCGGGAAATTTTGGAAAATGGAGACGTAGTAGCCTACCGGAGTGCTGCTATTGGCACTAAAAGCGAATAGCTGACTTCGAGCGCCGATATCTCGAAAACTATCTGTCCTATGGAGCTGATCATGGTCTCATTCGATTCAGCGGGTCATTTCCTACTGGAAAAGCGATAATTCGCGTGGATTTTTGCCGTTTACTGGCACTTTTGGCCGTCCGAAGATGGCTCGGTGACTATATCATACTGAAGTCTTAGGTGGGAAAATGAAATTTTTATTTGACCTATTAAAAATCTGAAAAAATTCACATAGACTAATTCGATGTCGAAATCAACGTATCTGTGGTGGAAATCGGGAAATTTTGGAAAATGGAGACGTAGTAGCCTACCGGAGTGCTCCTATTGGCACTAAAAGCGAATAGCTGATTTCGAGCGCCGATATCTCGAAAACTATCTGTCCTATGGAGCTGATCATGGTCTCATTCGATTCAGCGGGTCATTTCCTACTGGAAAAGCGATAATTCGCGTGGATTTTTGCCGTTTACTGGCACTTTTGGCCGTCCGAAGATGGCTCGGTGACTATATCGTACTGAAGTCTTAGGTCGGAAAATGAAAATTTTTATTTGGCCTATTGAATATCTGAAAAAATTCACATAGACTAATTCGATGTCGAAATGAACGAATCTGTGGTGGAAATCGGGAAATTTTGGAAAATGGAGACGTAGTAGCCTACCGGAGTGCTCCTATTGGCACTAAAAGCGAATAGCTGACTTCGAGCGCCGATATCTCGAAAACTATCTGTCCTATGGAGCTGATCATGGTCTCATTCGATTCAGCGGGTCATTTCCTACTGGAAAAGCGATAATTCGCGTGGATTTTTGCCGTTTACTGGCACTTTTGGCCGTCCGAAGATGGCTCGGTGACTATATCATACTGAAGTCTTAGGTGGGA